AATGTCGGTGAACAACACGGAGCTACAAGGACAGGAGTCATAACCGGGGACCTGTTACACACCATCATCATGTGTAGTCACACACACACGCACGCACACGCACACAATTCACCCACGGAGTGAAACTGATGAGGTGATCAATGACCTATTCCTGTCCACGACTCTGGAGACTGGTGATTCACACGCTGCAGCGTGGAGTTGATAAATCAAGGAGTGGTCAGGATTACAGGAACGCTTTTAGAGTTTTATTTTTCGTTAGAAGTTAGTTCGGTAAAATGTATTAACAATCAGGGTTTCATTTTATTCCCTTCGGTGTGACTCATCAATGGGGTTTTTTTTCTCTCTTCACACGTGGAGCAGTGACATCATCAGCTTTGACGCACCACCTTGACGACAGGTGTGTGTGTGTTATAAATGATCTTTTCCTAATCTCATTTACCTCCCGTTGTTATAAATTACCTTTTCCTAATCTCATTTACCTCCCGTTTAATCATGGTGCGTTCCATGAACCTGGGAGTTTAGAAATTTGAAGAAAAATGTTAAGAGGAATGCAGCTGAACGTCGAATGTCCTACGAGTGAAGAAGAGGCAACGCGAATAACCCTAACTTGGGTAAAAAATTAATATAATAATAATTTGATGCATTGAATTAAATTAACGTGTTCGACTAAATGAATAATTAGGTAAAACGTTTTCATAAATGATATGTAGTTTGAGTAGTGTTTCAAGTTGTGCGACGTGTGTGAAGACGAGCTAGCTTACATATTAGCGACAGGTGCGATGCTAATAAAGGCGGCTAATAAAGTACTCAGAGCCGCCGTTTTCATCCTCTGTTTGATTCATCATAAATAGACAGAATTCCCGGACTAAAAAGTATCTGTTAAATAAAACAGTACAAATATTAAATCGTTGACCAAGTGCTGTATTAATGTTCCACTTTGTTGACCTCAAACCTGGAGGATTAAATGGAAAATGTCAGCGAACCCAGCTTTATTGAACGCCACATGAGTTCCTCTGCAGTGTGTGTAAGAAATTTGTATTCCTTGTTGGCAGAGACGTTTACGGTCAAACTGAAATCCTTTTTTTTTGTACAGGCCACATAAACACCAATCATCATTGTCCTCTCTGGGCTTCTGTACAAAGATGGCGGTATGACGTGGCAGACTTGACCTTTAATGCTGTCGTAACAGTGGAAGTCGCTGCTACAGAGACTTAAGATGAGGCTTTGGCCTCAAGACAACAACCAGGAAATCCTCTTTACAGCTGGAACAGGTTCAAATCTCCTTTTCACTTCCTTCACCTTTGACCTACAGGGAAGTAAAGCCAACACACTTCAGTTTTTTTTGTTTTCTTGACAGAAAAGGTCTTCACTGAGCGCTAATCACGTGAGACACAAGGTAAGAAGAAGAATCCCTTGCTCTTTTTAAGAACTAAGTCAAATGGAGCTACCCTTCCTTTCCCTGCAGGTGGAGCTGAAAACATAGTTTAAATGGCTTCTTCGCAAAGTGGAGTGTACTGTGGAAACATTTTGTTTTATTTAAATCTAATCTTGTAGATTATAAATAAAAAATCGTACACCTTTTTTTGCCGATATTTACATTTACTTTAAAATATGGTTACATTTATTCTCTGAACATCTCCCACAACTTCAATCTTATTTTATTCTGTAATGGCAGTTGACATCACTTCAATCTTTTTTTATTCTGTAATGGCAGTTGACATCAACTCGTATCACTACTACCACCTGTTGAGTATATTTTCCACTAGAAAACGTTTTCACGTAAAAAACATTCAGACACATTGCAAAAAACCCAAAAGAAAATCCAGGCAGAGGGCAGATCACCACCATACTCTATTTTTGTTTCCCTCAAGTACTCATAAAGTACTCTTTAATGTACTATCTAGAGTTCTATGTACATTCTGGCGGAAAATTTATTTTTTACTAATGCTGTTGAAAGATAGGGGGAGCTGCTGGCAATTTAAGCTCTCATTGGGGAGAGGGCGAGAAACACCCTGGTTCATTAAAAGTCTGAACGTTCGGTGTGAAATACGACACAAGTCTGAGTCAGGTCACACTTGTCAGTCAGAGTCGAGTCACCGAACAGCAGTTGGACTTGTGACTCTGGGACTCAGGGGATTATAACATTGACAGAGTCGGTCCAGTGGAGTTTGTCACAGAGGACAAAACCCAAGTACTGACTTGAGACGAACACGTCCACATGTGACAGAGTTTGACTTTTGATGAAATAACGTGGAAAGTAGTTCGAACACTTGTCGTTCTTTGTGTTGACGCCGCTGTGTTGCAACGGTTGACAAAGAGACTTTACATAACTGTGAGACCAAGTGGCGGTGGTGAATCAGGCCCTTTTGTGCATCTGTCAGGGACAAGAAACTCTTTCTACGAAGACATCAGCAGAAACGCGTCGTGACTCTCAGACATCTCAAACGCTACAATCAAACTTTCATGTGTTTTTTTTCTTGTTTCTCGTTGGGTTTAAAAGAGTTCGTCAAGGCTTCGATAACTGATGGAGGAGTTTTATTATCCTCCTGTTTCCTTGTGTTTACTTCACTTGACCCCCCCTGCTGTAGCACGGGGCGACTGCATGCATGTAGGAGAAAAGAGCTTACAGCCGGGAGCGGCGTGTGATTGGTTCTGTTAGAAGAAAAGAGGATTAGAGGAACCTCTTCCTCCGTCTGTGTGTGAGCGTCTCTTTGTCTGCGTGGGTGGTTGTCTTTGCATGAGTGGCGCGTGTGTGTGTGTGTGTGTGTGTGTGTGTGTGTGTGGGCAGCAGGTGCACACAGACCTACCTGGTGTGTGTGCGCTAACCAGACAGTGAGGCTGGGTGAGGAAAGGAGGGAGAGAAGGAAGCCTTCAGAGATATTTTTAGTCGACAGAATCTCAGTGCTCAGGAGCGGTTGATGGTGGAATTAGAGGCGTGCCTGGTAGTTAAGAGGGATGAGAGGGGCTCAGGACTGATGGACTAGAAATTAAACCTCACTTCAGTTGGTTTACGTTCACTCTGGTGCCGCACGGCTCCAGGACTCGGCAGGAAATGAAATCTCTGGTCTGCTGAAATCCACTGAAGTTCAGGTACGTTCAGTAACTGACACTGGCTGTACTGTATGTAATTGTCTCTGAAAGAGGAGGGGTCTGTAGGTTAAAGCCCTCCGTGGAAGGATCTGGTAACTTTCTTAGAGGAGTCAGATCAGCTGTCGAGACTCTAACTGGTCGTGAAAGTGTCATAGCTGTGTTCACTGTTTTATAATATAAACCTTCAACTTAAACTTTAACTTGGTTAGCGTTTATAAGGTGTTTTTTTTTTTTTTTCTATTTGGCTCAACTTTCAGCATTATCGTTAATCTTCAGGGCAGAAGACGATGCCTTTGTTCACATCTTTGCACTCATTTGCCCCACAGTGTATTCAAGTTTAATGAAGACGCTGTGATCTGGTTACCAGGCTCCAGTTACACAGAGCAGGCTGCACGGCTCACACATATACTGGATCTGTCCTTTAAACACTGTACAACGGCTGGAGAGGAGTTCAAAACATTTGTCATCAAACTATCTTTATTTAAAGAAACTGTAGAATTATATTTAACTCCAGTGGGGATAATATTACATATCTGATTCAGTATCCAATAGAATAAATATGAATGGACTCATTCAGGTACAGACTGAAGCTTTAAGAAACTTTTATATTTGTATTAAGCACAAAAAAAAAAAAAAAAGAAAACTTGTATCAGGCCCTAAAGATTGTAGACAAAATGTGCTTTTAAATTGAGGGTCGTGTCGCAGTAACAGGTTTGTAAGGTGACGTTGTACAAGAAAACACCCACTTGGTTGAGATATTTCTTCTAGTATTAGTTTCTGTTTTTACTATTTTGGCACAAGTTACTATTTGAAATACATTTGGGAAATTAGTGATATTTTTTTTAAAATTGTGATAATTAAATAATTTTAAATAGCAGTGCTAATTTACAGTGCTAATTAAATGAGCTCTTGCTAAACAGGCTAAACATACATACATATACATATATATTTATAAATATACACAATACTCTTTGATTTTAGTAACAAACAATTTACAAAGACATATGTAAATAGCAGCCACAATTAAATGAGCTCCTGCTAAACAGGCTAAACATACATATATATACATATACATTTATAAACATAGACAATACTCATTGATTCTAGTAACACAAACAACTTACAAAGACATATGTAAATAGCAGCCATGTGGGGTCATTTTTCTGCTGATATACTCCTGTATGCCGACGATAGCTGGTTTTATTTTATAATTTTCCTAGTGTATTTTAGTTTGTCTTATTGTTTTCCTACTAGTATGGGAGTGAAAGAGCTTTAATGTCCTGATATATTTACAAAAAAAGAATTTGAAGTTTGATTTGTGTTCTGTTCGATCTTCATATCTTGTGTGGTGCATGAGAAAGGCTGGGTGTAGAAGTGCAGCACAGAGCACTTCTCCCCAGGCCTGTGTTTGATATGCTGTATTTGTGGTTGGTTTTTGTGCGCATGTGGGTGAACACACACACACACAGAGGAGGAAGGAAAGAAGAATTCATGCGTCTCTGGACTCTCCTTCCTCCTCGCACTGTACAGACTTTCAAGCCTCAGTGATCAGCTGGGAGCAGCAGAGGAATCTCTATACTGCCGTCATTTATCACTGACGACAGGAGCACAGCTTCACCTCTGCTGACACTAGCACCAAGGTTAGGTGAGGAGATGATGGACTTGGCAAAAAAGAAATTTAATATTTACACATGGAAGATAATGTAGGAGGAGAAACATTATGTACAGAAAAATGCTGTGGGATGTCAGGGAGGAGTCAAGGTCACAACTGTGATAGCTGGGAGCCACAGCATCTTTCAGGGTCAGCACTTTATTTTCCTTAGAGTCTTTTCCTATCACTTTAGATATCTTATCAAACCGACTTTATTTGTGTTGTTGAATGCTGCAACTTTCAAGAGAATATTAACAATATTTATCTAAGAATGGAATAAAGGCAAGGCTGCAAGGTTAGCAATGCTCGATCAGGTACAGAATTGAAGATGTCAGTTTTTTATTCTTCATTCAAGGTCTGATAATCAGTGAGGGAGTTTAGCCAGGAATTTGTGAAAGCGATGCCGTTTTGTTAAGATTATACGTGGTGTTTTTAATCATAACATAAAAAGTAATATGTTGAAAATATATAGTTTATCAGAAATTTTTATTCATCAGTTACTAGACATTTCAGGCGACCCCATTTGAATTCCTGGTGACCCCATGTGGGGTCGCGACCCCGAGGTTGAAAGCATAGAAGGGAGTAAAAATGTTTGTTTTACACTGAAATTATTCTGAGGCATTGATACATACAGTTGGTCCAGAACGTTTTTTGATCATCTGATCATGTGACACTGCCGTGTCCAATCAAACTCAGTATGCAGCTGAAGAGGTGACGCGTAGCAGCGAGTGTGGATGTGGACTGGAGCTTTATTTTAAAGTGTGCAGTACTGTATCTCTACCAACTCTCTTGTTATCACCCTTGGCCAGGTACTTGGCCCATTAGTTGTGTGCATCCAGGACACATCTGCCCCAGAGCTGCACACACACACACACACATGCTTGAAAGACACACACAGACAAATGAGCCCTTGCTGTCTATACAGACACACACATGCTTGAAAGACACACAGACAAATGAGCCCTTGCTGTCATATTTCAACACATCTGCATGATGTACAGCAGAGCTGATGGATTTTTAATATCCTTCTGTGCAGATCTGGCGGCTGGTTGTGCTCACACTCGCAGCACAGAGCAGCGAGATACAGTACACGCCAGCCTAGTGTGTGTGTGTGTGTGTGTGTTTGTTATGCTGAAATAATGCAATTGCATGATTGCGTTTCCGTGTTTTTGATTGGTGTGCGATGTTGTCATGTGTCAGCTGTGTGCTCTCGCCGCTCCGTCCCCTTCCTTTTCATTAGAGAGCTGCTGTATTAGGCTCATGTGGTCTAACACACACACACACACCTCGACGCACACAGACACACACAGTCAGTCAGTCACAGTGCTCATCAGCAATCAATTCTTCACAAGAGGAGAGGAGATGAAGAATTCATCATGATTCATTTGGCAGCAGATAACCTGATTTTCACTCAGTCCTCTGCGGCGCTCCACCTACACGTTAATGTTTGAAAAGAGAAACAGCTGGGTATGTAAACAAAACACCATTACTACATATATGACAACAACAAGTTCATATAATTACGGTATTGGCCTGAGGTGTCATTAAAAATATAAACAACGTACGATACTAGTGTTTTCCAGTAGTGAAGTTACTAAATTAAAACATTATACAAAATATACAGCTCAGCGTTTACTACCAATAAGAAAAAAATAGAAAAATAAACATGATCAGAAATACCTAAGGTGACTAAAATATCTAAAAACCAAAGCTAAATTAACACAATTAAATAGAATGACAAACTAGTAAAAAAACATTAATTACTTAGTCAGAAAATGTTCACCAAAGCTAAATTAACACAATTAAATAAAATGACAAACTAGTAAAA